CTGGCTCCTCTGGTCTCTGGTTCTGATCCAGCAGGTTGGATTTTACCCTCAAGAATCTTTACAGATTTTATTTTATTTTTTTGACAAATAAACGGCACAGTTTTGACAATTAGTTTTTATTTTTTTTTAAACCAGAACCTGCCGGGGTTCAGAGGGTTAATGATTCATGAGAGATTACAAGATGAAGAACATTTAAATGTTTCTAACAGGTAATAACTGATTATGTAACTAACGAGCGTCCGTCATCAGGCCTTGTGTTGAGAATCATCAGCTGGACGGTGGAGGGACGTGTTTGTGGTGTGAAGCTCCTTCAGGTGCTGAAGCTCGTCCGTTTGTGTCGTCTGCTCTCCGTGGATGAGTCACGAGTGTGTTTTGCATAACGGCTGACGAGCTGCTGCAGACGGAGAGCGTCGGAGGTGCTTCCAGCCCTGTGGAGGTGTGAGGAGCTGATCTGAGCTCTGCTGTGTGTCTCAGGGCGAACTGGAGCGGCAGCTGCTGCAGGCCAACCCCATCCTGGAGGCCTTCGGCAACGCCAAGACCGTCAAGAACGACAACTCGTCCAGATTTGTGAGTCTGGACTGGTGTCTCCTCAAAGTTCTCTCATCAGTTGGACTGTAAACTAACTCAGCTTGGTCTGTTTCAGGGTAAATTCATCCGCATTAACTTTGACGTGGCGGGATACATCGTCGGTGCCAACATTGAAACCTGTATCCTTCAGTGTGCACATGAACACAACCACACAGTTCATCTCAACGTTCGAAAGACTGATCTGAAACAGAAACTAGAAACGGGCCCAGATTAAAGTGTAATGTAAGATGTTTTTGTGATGACGTGTCCTTGACCACATGAATCCAGACCTCCTTGAAAAGTCTCGAGCTACACGTCAGGCCAAAGACGAGAGAACCTTCCACATCTTCTACCAGCTGTTGTGTGGAGCTACAGAGGAAACCAGAGGTGAGCAGACTGGAAAGCAGCATGTTGTCTTGTTGTATGAGTTCATGTCTTAAACGTCTTTGTTTCCTTCAGCCGACCTGCTCCTCGGTACTGCAGATGAGTACCGGTTCCTCAGCGGCGGCTCCATCCCTGTTCCTGGTCAGAGCGACTCGGAGAACTTCACCCAGACCATGGACTCCATGGCCATCATGGGCTTCACCCCCGAGGAGCTGCTCTGTAGGAAACACTCAGAACCAAAGCCCGTCTGTTTGCTGTGTGTCTGCTCCTGGACATGACCTCCTTCATGTGTCTCCTCCTGCAGCCATGCTGAAGGTCATCTCCGCCGTGCTCCAGTTTGGAAACATCTCCTTCATGAAGGAGAAGAACCAGGACCAGGCCTCGATGCCCGACAACACGGCGGCCCAGAAGCTGTGCCACCTGCTGGGCATCAACGTGCTGGAGTTCACCCGGGCCATCCTGACGCCGCGGATCAAAGTGGGCCGCGAGTACGTCCAGAAGGCTCAGACCAAAGAGCAGGTAGGCCGTTGGGTTCACCAGGACGTGCACCTGTTGGTCCACGTGGGGCGCTCCTGACCGCTGTGTCTCCTCCTGCAGGCCGACTTCGCCGTAGAAGCTCTGGCCAAGGCGACGTACGAGCGTCTGTTCCGCTGGTTGGTTCACCGGATCAACAGAGCTCTGGACCGCCGGCAGAGACAAGGAGCCTCCTTCATCGGCATCCTGGACATCGCAGGGTTCGAGATCTTCCAGGTTTGTTCACGAGTTGCTCCATCTCAAGTTCACACGTTCTCTGTTTCTCCTCTGATTTGTCTGAAATGTTATAAAATGTTCATTCATACCGAGATTTGTGAGATTTCAGCTCAATATTTGAAGCACTGATGAGATGATTTTGTCTTTTAAAGTTCCCCGTCGACCCAACAGCATCTGAGGAACCATTAAAGATCAAACCTGAAATGTTCTCTGTTAGTTCTCATCAGTCACTGATTCAGAATCTGTCATATTGGACAGTAGATCAATAATCTGATTATGGGTGAAGTGAACCAGTGATGTTTCCTGAAGGCCACAGCAACACAAAACTAAACATATAAAACACTGAAATAAAAACTCATCTGTGTTGTCAGGTTGTTCAAAAACCCAAATCCTTCTGGACAGACTGATCCGAGTAGAGCAGAGTTCTGCTTTCAGGTTTATTTAGGGCTGATATGATAAAATGTTCAATCCTGATCATTTTTAAAGACGTATTTCTAATGACGGCAGAAAAGACGGTTAATTAGAATTTTAGCCAATTTATTGAGGAGGAAGTAATAATTTTAGGGCTAACAATCATTAAAATAAATGAGTTCAGACACATAAATGCAGCTGAATAAAGGAGTGATCTCACCGTGACACAATCCAAAGGGCTTCAGTAAAACACACCTGGACGTTCCACCTGACCACAGGTGGCAGCGTCCCTCAGACCTGCAGCTCTCCAGGTGCATCCAGAGGAGCCTCGTTATGGAGAAATAAACTCTGTGTCTGTCTCGGCCGGTGCGTGAACGGTGACACCTTTGCTCTCCTGAATCCCTCCCGTGCAGCTGAACTCCTTCGAGCAGCTGTGCATCAACTACACCAACGAGAAGCTGCAGCAGCTCTTCAACCACACCATGTTCATCCTGGAGCAGGAGGAGTACCAGCGAGAGGGCATCGAGTGGAACTTCATCGACTTCGGCCTGGACCTGCAGCCCTGCATCGACCTGATCGAGAGGCCGGTTCGTACTATTATTATTGTTATTATTATTATTATTGTTGTTGTTGTTGTTGTTATTACCTGAGCACTGTGTTCTTCTTCGCTGAGGTTCATGTTTCTCTGAAGTCCTGCAGCTCTGTGGAACCAGAACCACATGAAGTCGATGAGACGTTTAGTGAATTTCTTATTTATTTTTGTAAACCAGCTGGTCCAGCATGTTTCCAGGTGTCCACAGGTGTCCACAGGTGTCCACAGGTGTCTGACAGGTACAACACTGGAAGAACAAGTGAAGAGTTCATCTGCACAAACAGAAAACTCCATTTTTGTAGATTTTCAGAAAACTTGTTTTTTGTTGTTTGCTTGAGATAAAATCAGTCAAAGTGAAGCTGAGTGGACGTGACTCAGTAGAAACAGAGATAACTGATGGATGTTGTGTCAGGTAGACGATGGAGCAGTGGGTTTATGAAGGTCTGTGAAGATGGAGGTATCTGTTCATGAACTCTTCATAAATAAGAACAGCAGAAGAACAGGAGGTTCTACCAACACACATTTAGGAACATCAGCATGAATGAGCTGCACTTGGTTCCTTATTTATCTGCAGTGGCACCTTCTGGTCTCAGCAGGTTTCCTCAGCAGTCTGTCCTTCTCCTCTGCAGGCCCACCCTCCCGGCGTCCTGGCGCTGCTGGATGAGGAGTGCTGGTTCCCCCGGGCGACGGACCGATCCTTCGTGGAGAAGCTGTCCGGGGAGCAAGGCAGCCACCCCAAGTTCTTCAAGTCCAAGCAGCCGCGAGGGGAGGCCGACTTCTCCATCATCCACTACGCCGGGAAGGTAGTCCTCCATTTTTCTACCTTATTATCCGTCTAACCGACGGCCTGCGGGCGTCTTTAACGCGGGTCATGTGACCTCCTCAGGTGGACTACAAGGCCGACGACTGGCTGGTGAAGAACATGGATCCTCTGAACGACAACGTGGCGTCGCTGCTGCACCAGTCGTCGGATCATTTCGTCTCAGAGCTCTGGAAGGAGGGTGAGACGTTTGGTTGTGTCTGTGAAGATCCTCAGTCCTCCAGGTCCTGGTTCTTCTGGTAGGTTCATGGTAGCAGCTGGACCTGCTTGAGCTCCTTGAAGACGTTCCACCTCCATCCAAGAGGCTTCATCAGCTCTGACTGACTAGTTGGGAGTTCCACATACTGATATCCTGAAGGAGACACTAACACCTGAGTTTGGGTTTCATTTGGGGGTTTGTGGCTCCTCCCCCTCGTTATGTGACTCGTTAGTGCTCCTCCTGACACAGTGGGGTTCCCAACAAACCTCCAACTGAAACCCAAACTCAGGTGTTAACGTCTCCTTCAGGATATCAGTACCTGGATCTCCTGACTAGTCAGTCAGAGCTGATGAAGCCTCTTGGATGAAGGTGGAACATCTTCAAGGAACTCAAGCAGGTCCAGCTGCTACCATTAATCTACAAGAATCATGTTTGTTTATTCGCTGCTATGTGGAGTTTGATCAGTTTTAAAGTTTACAGCCTTTACTTCTTAACAGACTTCAGTGTTTTCTGCCAAATTAAACCAATGAAGCTTTTTTCTGTTGCATATTAACGGTCTTCTCTCTCCTCCTTCTGTTCTTCCTCCTCCTGTTTCCTCCTCTTCCTCTGCACTAACCAGACATTCAAACTCTTCCTCGTGTCTACTTCTTTGACTCCTATGCCACACTGCAGGCTAATGGCTCGGACAGTAGGTTTACTTCTCCTTCCTCCTCCTTCCTCCTCCTTCCTCCTCCTTCCTCCTCCTCCTTCCTCCTCCTCCTCCTCCTCCTTCCTCCTCCTCCTCCTCCTCTGTGTTTGATTGCGGTGTGTGTTTTCGGCTGGTGTTTTTTGTGTGTCGTCACCGTGTCGCTCTCTCTCTGGGTTTCATTGACACTGCAGTGATTGTTTGAACCCATTCTTTCACGCTGAGCTCTTTCAGGAGCAGCATGTTCTCATTGGACCACAAAAGCCACATTCAGGATCACAGAGGACTCGTGCTGCAGCTGGATGAGGTTCACTGAGGCTTCGGTTTAACAGACAACAGCTGAACAGTAGCTATTGGGCACATTTACAAAAAGAAAAGAATCAAACCAGCCGCGAGCAGAAACGTGATCCTGAATCTGCTGCAGAGATCCATCACAAACCATCAGGTCATGAGGAAAGCTTCTGCTCCTCTGACTGGAATCTTTATCACATCAAATATGAATATTTGTAAAGATGTTTGTGAAGTTTCAGCTTCATAGATCGAGTGCTTTCTTAGTTGTTGGGTTTTTTTGTAAGTACCCGTCGACCCACTTCCAGAAGGTTTATTCTGACGTTTAAATCTGACTGATCAGTAATCAGATTACTGATCTACTGTCCAATATTACAGATCCTGAATCAGTGACGTGATGAGACAGAGAACATTTCAGGTTTTCCTCACATGTTGTTGTTCAGACAATGTGAGTAAAAACCTGCAGAAAGCAGATCGACGGGCAGTTTTTAAAAAACGTTATCTCAAAAAATATTTGACAAATGAAGCTAAACCTTCACAGATACCATTTCAAATATCCAGAGTTTATGATTTAAAAAGTAGATCAGAGATGGTCGAGCTAAACGACGCTGATGGTTTGAGATGGAACAACCAGATTATTGTACGTGATGCTGACGCTGGACCAGACAATCTAAAGACCGCAGAGGTCCATCTGATGTCAGCTGTGAGAACATCATGTCCTGGTGTTGAGTAGATTAGTTCGTCATCGTTTTTCACTCCTGATGGTTAACGTGCGTGTTGTGGTGCAGTGGACCGGATCGTGGGCCTGGACCAGGTGTCTTCAGGCGAGAGCAGCGGTCCGGTGACGTTCGGAGCGTCGGGACTGAAGACTAAGAAGGGGATGTTCAGGACCGTCGGTCAGCTCTACAAAGAGTCTCTGACCAAGCTGATGGCCACACTGAGGAACACCAACCCCAACTTCCTGCGCTGCATCATCCCCAACCACGAGAAGAGGGTGAGACGCCAAACATCCGCAAAAAATAATAAGAATTAGAACTTAAAATGGCTCAACAATGGTCCTAAAGGACTCTAAAGTGGTGCAAAATGAAACTTCTAAACTTTTCCAAAATGGCTCAAAACATAAAATGAATTAAAAACTGTCAAAAACGATTCAGAGTTGCCCAAAGTAGCCTAAAGCCGTCATAAATCAGGTAAAATTAAATTAAAATGTTTTAAAACTTGCACAAAATGACTCAGAAATTGTCCTTAAAGGGCTTAACGTTGCTGTAACAGGCTGGAAACTTGGTTTGTGTTATTCTATGAAGCTGCTTGTGCTGCTGAAGACCAGACGTAGGTAGTGATGTGGCTGCAGAACCTCAGGACTCCAGCCACAGGTTGTAGCTCTTCAAACATCGATCCACTGATTGGAAGAAGAAAAATCAACATGACTCCGCCTTCTTTACCAATTTTAAACCCAAAAACACCCAAATGTTTTAATTAATAACAGACATATGCACAGAAAAAACAGATTATTATGAGATGCTGTGAACTGTTTTTAACCCTTTACTGGGCAAGAAACCATGTATGGTAACTTCCTGTCATCCGGCCAATCAGCAAAGGTCAGGCTACATGACAGCACAGTTGCTATGGCCTCTGACCAATCAGACGAGTGTCATAAGTTCAGTAAGTCTGACTGGTGATTTAAAATGTTCCTTTTTTATAATAATATATCCACATATTATTTGGATTTTTGTTTTTTAGGGGAATTGTATGCGGTAACTGGTTCGACTTTGATTTGCAGCTTAAATCTGAAACTTCTTTAAAAGTCAAAAAAGAAAAAATAGTATTTCAAAGAGTCCCTTATAAAGTGTTATATTTGATGAACTGAGGTGGAAGGACCCATCTGCAAACATCTGCTGGTTCTGCTGGTTCTTTAACTCCTCTGCTGGTCTCCTCAGGCCGGTAAACTATCCCCTCACCTGGTTCTGGACCAGCTCAGGTGTAACGGCGTTCTGGAGGGGATCCGGATCTGCAGACAAGGCTTCCCCAACCGGATCCCGTTCCAGGAGTTCAGACAGAGGTGAGTGTTCAGGGTTTTCCTTCTGCTTCTCCACCCGCTGATGAAACACCTGCTCTGCTTCATGAGATCTGTTTGTCCTCCAGATATGAGATCTTAACTCCAAACGCTATCCCTCGAACCTTCATGGACGGAAAACAGGCGTCGGAGCTCATGGTGAGTAGCTTCAGCTCACTCAGATGTTCATTCTTCACCATGAATAATCCTCCAGAACCTCCTCAGAACATCTGGTTCTGTATCTGCAGCACCTTTATCTACTGACCAGAGTTCTACCTTCAGACTGTGAATGTTCCAGAGGTCCACAGAGGAGGGTCCAGATTGATCACTTTAATGGACTTTTTCCATCATTTCTGAGCCTCAGAACTTCATCAGAACAGCAGATAGACACACTGAACCTACGTGGTTCTGAGGAGGTCGGGGGGGTTGGTTCAGTTCTGGTTGATCTTATCAGAAATGACACTGATGTAAACTGTCCTGGTTCAGATCAGCGCTCTGGAGTTGGACCACAACCTGTTCAGGGTCGGTCAGAGTAAAGTCTTCTTCAGAGCCGGAGTTCTGGCCCATCTGGAGGAGGAACGAGACCTGAAGATCACCGACACCATCATTCGCTTCCAGAGCGCCGCCAGAGGCTTCCTCGCTCG